TAATAGACAAGCTATTTGAAACTCTGACCTAAAAAAATGCTCTTGTGTTCTATCTGAACACAAGCTGTATATTAAGCAGTCTATTTTGCTTTGAAGTATATTCTGCTTTCACATTTCTGTTCTCAGAAGACTGGAGTTAACCCACCAAATATAAAAAACAGCCTTAGATATTTTTTCTTTATAGTCAGAACTTTCCTGCTCTGACCTGAACATGCAAGTCGGTAGTCATGGCAAATGTTCATTACTAATGCTCCTGAAATTTGTCTAGCATTTGAACCACACGAAACAGGTATATTCTTATACTGCCAGCGTGGCAGCAACAGACTCATCTGCTGCCAAAACAACAGATTCTTCATTGTCCTAACATCACGTGCACACTCTACAAAGACATCTAGGAGCCACAGGGCCTTTCTGCATCTAGCAAGAGCTCATTAGTATAGCGTACAGTACAAGTCAGACTACCAAAAGCTTTTGCCTCGAAGAATACTGAAATGTGTTCCTAAAATTCAGTACGAAATATAAAAAGAATTTGATGATTAGAAGTACCCCAGGCAAACTGACACTTGTCAGATCTGGAGAGTCACATTAAAAAAAATGACAAATCAGCGCAGCAAAAATTTCTTTAAAACACCCTAAAATTGAAACTAGAAGGAGATAAAGGTCTATTTAAATTAGTTGTGCATCTTTAAATATGATCTGGAAGTAAAGGAACAGAAAACAAAAACCTGACCTTTAAAGTAGAAATAACAGCGATGCTAATAATTGAGTGAACTAGTCAGATGAAGGCTATCAAACAAATTAGCAGGCCTGTATATTGCAACTTCAACAAAAAAACCTAGGTGAAATCTACACTAATGAAGTTTCCATTTGATAGACTGGATTTTTAAAGGCTTGGGAGGACTGCGAGACAGAAAGAAACCATGAGGAATTTCAAAAGCAGTTTAAGCAGGCTGCACACCAAATATTTAAACTGAGCAATATACTTCCCTAATGGAACAATTCTCTGATACTCACTGGACACGTGCATTTTACAAAGGTTTTGCAGTCCAGTCCATCCTAATCTCCAAATCACCGGTTTCAAACAACACAGATAACTAACAAAAGAGCTTAGAAGTTAGTACTGAATTCAGACACATCATACGGAAGAACATGAATCCATGAAAGCACCATTGCTGGCTTCTACAAAAACATTAGACTGACTGTAGAGACCCAAAACACTTAAGTGCCTTTTAAACGTAGCCCAGGTCTCCACTCCAATAAATGTAAAGAAAAATCACATTTCACCTACCAGTCTTTGCAGTAAATCAGAGTAGCATACAAAGTTTAACACATTTGAAGTGTCTCATAATAGAAAATCTCACAATGATAAAGTACCTGGTAAGAAAGTATCAGATACACCACATCTTGAAGTTCAAGGCAGCCAGGATCTGACTATGCTATACTCTGGAAACTGCTGAAAGACGCAGTGGTTATTCATGCTAGCTTCTTCTTAAAACCATAATAATCTTGACTTCTGAGGCATGCTGGAAAGTTTCAATCTGCATACTTGCAGTTCCCGGAGATGTAAGTTGAGGCAGCAGGAGCGCAACTAAAAAAATAAAAAAATCCAAGTGTTTTTGAGACAAGTTGTTAGCAGACTAATTTTTGTCCTTTAATGTTTTCATCAATGACTTAGCGAGATCGAGTGCACCCTCAGCAAGTTTGCGGATGAGGTTCAACAAGGCCAAGTGCAAGGTCCTGCACCTTGGAACAGGTTGCCCAGAGAGGTGGTGGAGGCCCCATCCCTGGAAGCATTCAAGGCCAGGTTGGACGGGGCTCTGAGCAACCTGATGGAGTTAGTGGTGTCCCTGCTCACTGCGGGGGGGTTGGACTAGATGACCTCTAGGGGTCCCTTCCAACCCAAAACATTCTATGATTCTATGATTCTATGATTCTATTGTTTACACAGGCTCAGAAAGTCAGAAGGGAATATACGCTCTAGTGTAACTGCAGGACTTAGTTTTAAATGCAAATGCTCACCAAAAAATCCAGAGTAAATGAGAAACATCAAAAGTCATTATATATTTATATTATGTAACTGCTGGAATATTGTACTTAAGAAACAGTGGTACTAGCAATATAAATGACTCTAAAATGGAAGGAAAAATAAGTTTCTCAATCAATAAAGAGAGAAGATATTAACTTCTTTAATTTGAAATATTTTCTTTCTGTTAATAGAACAGAACAATGTGGCTTGATCAAGTTGTTTTTAAGAAAATGACTCCTACTCATGATAATCTCCAAAACAAAAAGATTCCTGACACATCATTCATACTTTGGATCAAACAGTCTACTAGAAAGGATGAGGGGAAAAAAAGCTCCTGTCATTTTTGACAACTATTCCTTCCTGTAACACTACAAAAACTAGTTCTATGTACATTTTAATGCATCCTAGACCAAAAGACTGATTGATCTGAAAAATGAATATCTGAGATGAGGTTCTTACAGTATTCTTTATTAATATAATTAGAAGTTGCAGAAACAACTTTCTTATAATATAAAGGCACAGGGAGACAGTTTTGATAAAATATTCCAATCAAACAGTAACTTACAGTACAAAAGGACAATTGTAATGCACATACAAACCCCAAACATCTAATTCAAAAATATTTCACCGTGTTCATCATAATAATGGGCAATGGCTAAAAATATAAATTGTTACTGTACAATAAATATCTGATAGGTGCAAACGGAACAAGATTTATTGCTCTCCACAATGTTTTCCCTGTAGTGTTTTGTTGTTTGTTTTTTTATTTTTTTAAGTTCCAAATTCCTTTTGTAATCCACTTTAGTAACTTATTTCTGAGGGAACTAAACCCCAAACCAAATCTGATAGGACATTCTGACAGTTACAGAACTGCCTCAAGTAGTAACCAGAACTGGCAGTGTTTGTTTCTTTTATAACTTTAACAATCATACTCCATTCACTCATTGGGAAATGTGGTAGATGTTTACAAATCAACTTTAGTGGTAAGTCAAGGCTTTATGGTAGACTAGTATTACCTAGTCTGAGGGTTAGTCTATTTTCTTCAAATAAGTGGATTTTATGCTGAAAAATAACATGAACCTTCTCTGACAGCTTGTGCCAGAGCAAGCATGTAAAACAGTGTTCAAATGAGGGGAGGGGAGAAATTAAAATTGAAAGCTGCACTGGGCATTCTAACTTCAGGAAACGAGACAAGGGACTGGGAGCAAACTAGGACTACACAGGCAAAGATGACAATTTTGAGTTCTAAAATATCCTTAATATAGTCATCTAAGAAATCAAAAAGCACTCTGCAACTTTATATGGCTCCACTTTTGGGCTTTGAGAAAGAAGGGCCAGTCAGTGAGTTTGCTATTTTTCTCTCCTTGCACTTGCAGCAATTTGGTAAAGCAACAGTTTCCATCAGTCTTTTAACGCAGTATGAGAGGCATACTGGTTTTGCTCTTGAAAGTAGCACATAATACCTTGCTCAGAATTCTTTTTAGCTTGTACAAAATATTGTTTTATACAGGCATTTTAGAAATATGAGTTTCCTTCATTACTCTTACATGAAGTAATATGCATACATTTCCTAAGAGTATCTTTTTATGTATAAGACTTCAGGAGAATGAAGCATTATAGTAGTTGTTTAAAAAAAAAAAAGGAAAAAAAAAAACAAAAAAAACAAGGAGCAAGCTTTGAAGTGAGTTCTTGTAGCAGTAACTTGAGGTTTTTATAAAAACTGTAGTTTATAAGAACAACACTAGATTTACACAAACCTCAACAAGCCAATTTTAACTGCACTGGGAATAGTCAAACTTAGTTGAAGAAAAGGTGTCTAGAGTAAATACATCTTAATCAATTTAGCTGGTAAACCAAAAGATAAATATTCAGTAAACTCCACTACGCTTGAATTCAACAGAATTGGGAATGATGTAAAACAAACTTTCTAGACATTACTATTCAAATTAGGGTTTTCTAGTATAAGCACATAATTTTACAAGTTCTTCAGAGAGTAACCAAGAATCAATGACATTTGAATTTTGAGAATTATTAGCTTCACTACAGTATAGCATTTTTTCTTTACTATTTTTTTAGAAACTAACAAACAAAACCATTTTCTTTGGTTTAGGCTTAACTACACTGGACTTGTGAATTTTTATTTTAACCAAGCTTCTATCCCCAATTTAAATTATTATAGATTTTTTTTTATTGTAGTCTCCCTCCAATTCTCAAATTATCTCTGTTAAAGATAAAACTTTGCTCATACCATGATTTCCTGCTAAACAGTCATGTGTATATATTGGCATGAAGGGTAAAAGTTTTGTACAATAATTACATTAAAAGATATTTCCAATGGCAGAACTACAAAAGACATCAAATGAATGTCAATTCAAATGACATTTGATTTTATGATGATCTTAAAAAAACCACACAATGTCTAAGCATAGTAAAATACAGTGTAAAACCCCCTAAAATTAGACAGTAAACATGGGAATCCTGCACTCACAGTAGGAAGTACTGCACAGCATTAACATGAAAGCCCGTTAAGTTTGAAACTGCAGACAGCTAGATTTACCTGTATGTAAATGCCACTTCAAGGTGTTTAAACAAACACAAAAATGAGACAATGATGTCAGGAAAAAAGCCTTTAAAACAGGCCATCAGTCTAACTTGACTTTCCAAGTAAAAACATCAGCTTCACAAAACTGTGACACTAATGCAGTTTTATGTAAAGTACCCTTTGACACACAAGCTGTCAATTAAGCTATCACAGTCTTTTTTGACCTACTCCCTTTTACGTAGTTAGGGAGGACAGTCAATAGTAGCTCAAGTTTTAGTTCAGCAAGTACCTTCTCTGTTTGCAAAGGAACATTATAACACCATAAAATTGTATTTTTATGGCATTTAGAAAACTGATAAACTAGTTTCTTTTTTTTATTATTTTCTCTTTTTAATACGTAAGTTCAAAACTTCATTTTCTATGTGTCTTTGCAATAGTGTTTTAGTCAGTGTTGCAAAAAAATTTTCACCGTGGACTACCTCACATTGTTACTCAATTGTGCAAGGTATTCACGCAGTTCTTTTGCGGCTTGGAATCTACCGTATCGCTTCTTTGGGTTGGCACACTCATCCAGCAAGGCCTCAAGTCGGCCATCTTTGGCAATTTCAGCTGGGGGGTCATGAAGTAGTCCTCCAGAAGTGCCACGCCATGTGGCATGTCTTGATAAAAGGTTCTGACAAATAGCATAATAATTGTGGTCCACAGTGACACGAGCACAGAGGATCTCTTTTGAGAAGGACAGACAAGCTTCTTTATCACAGTCATCAAATTTGCTTTCATACCATACATCCCAGTTTTCAGGTTTATCTGTGAAATATAAGGAGACGGTAAAAAAAAAAAGTGAGAGAGAAGAGGAAAGAGCATATGTGCATCTGAATACAATCAGAAGCTTAATACACAGCAAACTGGTAATATTCAAACTATAACCCAACTCTGTTTAGATGAACTCTTAAATATTCTAGTCTAAGATTGCATCTGACAGTTTCATATACCCTTCTGATGAAATGGTTCTGGCAATATAAAAATTAAGGGAAAGAAAGGAAAAGGGTAAAATCAATAGCAAAGAGAGGGAAGCACAGAAAATAGCACACTAACATATGAAATCTGCATTCACATGCATACCCAGAGGAAAAAATGTAGCACAAACAAGTACAGGAGAATGATTCACAGCTGAAATTGAAAGAAAAACAAACAAGCAACATGATTTATTTTAGCAACATGGATTTGGTTTTTCCAGTTGCCCTGGAAACTGACACTGGCAAGTGGTCTACCAAAGAATGGAAAAAACATTGCAAAGTAATTAGCATAAACTTCTGAAACATTACCTTCCAACCTCTTACTTTAGACATGGTGGTAACTAAGTAGTACATATAAAAAAGCAGATACATTACATACTGTCTTTGAAGAAAGAAAAAATTCAGCAAAATAAATGGCATTTACAAACACGTATAAATCTTTATATAGATTTCAAAATTTGAAGGTGTAACTAGTGGCCTTGTCACAAAGCTTTAACTTAAAACCTGGTTTACAGAAAAAACCTTATACAATAATATGTAAAAGGTTACTTAAGTGTGAGCTCTCTTGAGTTCTTACTACTTTTGGTCAGAAAACTTTCATCTTAAGCTTCTAGATTACTGCCAGCTTTGAGAAGAGGTCCTTATCATGGAGTCCAATAGTTCTGCAGATCTCTTTTAGCACTGTGATGTACAAAGAAAAATGTATCTGGTAGTCTGAGCTGACCATTAGTCTACTCATTTATGATGCACTGCAAGCCAGACTAGAAAAAAAAGCATACTGAAGGATGAGGATGACTGCTAAAACTATAAAAATAAGATGTAAAATTTGTACAACAAACAGCAAACTCGAACTGGAAAAAAAAAAAAAGCCAGTGAAGGAGAATGAGAAAAAAAAGACTTCAGCAAACTCAACTATGATATCCCACATAGAGCACAATTAGATATTTACTCTACAGTGCATTCAAATATCTAAATGGACATATTAATCACTCTAGGCAGAGACTGTTTAATGAAACTTTCCAGGAGATTAATGAAATGAGTGTTAAATGTCAAGTTTCTACAAAGACTGAGAACTTTCTTGTGTCCTCATTTGTTTTCTGTGTTCTTGATTAATTGTTAATTACAAATCACGCAGCAAAATCCTAGTTAGATCCAAATTAGTCTGAGAACTATAGACAACAGATGTAAGCACGACACTTTCAGCATTCAGCTTCTGCAAGATGCTACTGGCTCCTATTCCATGTACACATCAACTTTTTCAGAGTTCATTTGGTCATCTTTGTCACTGAGTAATTAATCATGCTCCAAAAGTCAAATTCTTAAGTAATATTATTTTTTGGCAGGGGTGGGGGGTGAAAAAAAGAAAGTTTATTTGTGTGTACTAAAGTAAATCATTTGATATCCAATACATTAAAATGTTTTCTTGGTAGGCTCAGGTAATTTTGATCTAAGGTCCTTGAGAACATATAATAAATCTAATACAAAAAAAAAAAAACCCCACCAGCAAAAAACCCCACACCAAGAAGAACCCCAAAAAACATACTTCATTGTAGAAAAGCATGTAGATAAAAAATATAGTCTCAAAGTTAATTCAGCAGCACAGCATATGAAGTCTATTTGCAAAGCTCAAAAAAACCAAACAAATCCATTCACCCAAAGCAAACTGGAATCACTTGGCCTACCGCCACGAACTTCTGCAGAATCTAGGGTTTCATGTTCAATGTCTCTAGCCCTTAGGTCTATAGTTTTCCTTATAAGCTCAAAAGGAATATAAACCCATGTAATGCCACTTTGTCAATCATCTCTCCTGCTGCCACTGCTTTGAGCTTTTACAGTTGACAGAAAGATGAATGAATTACTCATTCCTTCAGTTCCTTTATTACAGAGCACCTACATGAACAACTGAACCATAGGCAAGCTATGTAACTAAGGCAAAGCAGGCAGTAAGACTGTCTTGCCATTCACAGAAAATAGAATGCCAAGAGTTCCGTCCTTACAGATGTCTGGAAAAGATGAAAGGAACCTCTCTCTTTTAGTAAGGTAGGCAAATCAGTCAGCCAGCCCATCTGTCTATCTGTCCATCCATCTGTACAAATACATCCAACTTCCAAACACTCTCCTCCCACCCCCACCTGCCCATTTAAGCAGGATTACAGAGATTAAAAGTATATGTAAATCAAGTTCAGGTAAGCTCAATGCTTCGTAAAATTGACAAATTGGTCAAGTTAATTAGTAGTCTAATTGCAGAAGAAAGCTAATCAGTTTGTTAATTAGTTGTCTAGTTATAAAGCCAACAAAATGGGTGTTTAGCAACTACACATACTTTAAATATTGTGCTTGCAGAGAAAGAAGCAAGAGACATGGGGTGAGGGGAGTGGAGAGAAAGAAGAGACTTACTTTGTCTGATTAACCTTTTGTCTGCTACCAGAACGTTTTCTGCATCTACGATGATAACTTTCCCATCTCGTGGTCCAACTGCAAAGTTGTCAAAGCTGACATCAAGGAGGTAGAGTGCAAATTCAAAGTCATTATTTGTCAGCTGCTCAGCTATTTCCATTAATTGCCAGGCCAGATCCACGCGTTTCTCCCATGGTGCATTAAAGTAACTCCACAGCTCTTCTCCAACATAATTGACAGCCACCATTCTTCCGCATGCTCCTAAGTACTTTGCGAATGGCCAACCCTCATCAGACGGAAAACTCTGTGTATAAAAAGGTGTTTTTTTAAATTAATTAATACAAAACATCTTAGATTTTAAAAGGCCGCTCCATAAATTTAGGAGAGGCACCTGTAAACACCCATCAACACAACATTTCCATATATTTCCAAGTTTTGAAGAGAAAGGAAAATAACACAAAATATATTTATGTGAGCAAGAGGCTCTGCTGGACTACTTGAAGATCTCTCACAGAAAGGATTACAGAACAGATTAAGCTATAAAAGAAAGCTTAAGCTTTCTTATGCCTCTAGTATTCCTTAACAGTCTACCTCTTAACTAATTGATACATACATACTCTGTGCGTTTATTACACACAGCCACATAACATTTTATCAAAAGTAAAATCTGTCCCCAATAGTAGCTTTCGTGGAAGTTAACATAAAAGACTGAATAGTTATAACATACTACAAGCAATAAAAAAACCAACCAAACAAACAAAAAAAACCAAAAAACCAAAAAATGAAAACAAAACCACACCAGCATATTTTTCCTACTTCGCTTTTGCTGAATCTGCCTTAGGATTTCAATATGAACAGACAAGCATTTAAAAGGTATCCTGCCCACTATGTATGCATCAAGAAGAAACCATAAAAATATTAAAAAGCCCCAAATGCATAGAAGTTAGTACTCTTAGAATGTACGCTAATTTTAACAATTAGGAGATACCTGTGTGCACATGCTCCTTCCTCATGCACTGCACTACCTTGCTATCATGTTACGAGAAAGAAGTTGTAATCAGTTCTGCAAGGATGATGTAGCAAAGGTTTTACCACACTTGAATAGCGCAGTTGGTTTCAGTCTGAATGAAAGTATTCTATCTTCTGGAATCCATGATAGCAGAAAACATTTATGGTAAATCAAGAAAAGAGACACTGGAAGGAAACACATCATGTAGAGCAGATCTGAACTACAAGAGCAGGCAGGGAAGAGGTGCCCAGCACTCACCCATCTGTGTATGTATGCCACTTAAAAAAAAACTTAGAAAAATTACAAGCGCTTACATGCCCAACCACCGTAGCCTTAGAACCCATACCTCCCCTACAACAATCCTTAGTTTTACCACATCTGTGTTTCCTTTGATAACAAAGTTTTGACCATTTTATCTTAAGCAGAAGGCATCAGCTGATGCTAAGCCAAGGTTAGAATACTGATGTTGGTCAGAAACACTAGAAGCTCCATAATATAACAAGGAACTTAAGTCACATCTACCCCTGAGAATTAATACTTATTCTTGAAATACAAACAGCAGAATTAAAGCTATACTCAATTCACACACTAAGACTTCAATTTTAGTATTAAAGAAGCCCTGAAAAAACAGAACAGATTTGCTTAGATCACAGTAGTCAATAAGATAATATAGATCACCAATACACACTCCCATCTTAACTCGCAAAACTTGCTTGCATATTTTACTAGTCATTTTCTGTGTTTCATGCTGTCATGGCAGGAACCAAGTGTCATTAAAAAGGCTACTAACTGGCCTCTGACCCAACAGGTCATTGGATCAATGAATCCTCCAGCAATAACCAAGAGGAAAATTCTTACAGTTGTCTTCTCCACCTTTTAAAAGACGCTGCTGGTAAACACATGGGAAGAAAAAGCAAAACAGGAACACTTGCTCAGCACTGCAACAATAGTTTGTCTTGGTTATATTGACTTTTCAGGATTTCACAACAGCTGCAGGTTTCAGGAGGTAAAAACCAAAACTCTATGGAGAGATTGTCTCCATCTACTAAGTAATTTCAGCACAAACCAGAAATCTTAGTTACCAAATTTTTAAGTACAAATGCTACTAATGAAAAGGTTTACTGAAGCACAAAGCCCCTCTTATAGATGGGCAACACAAGTGCTTCCACGGTACAACTTCTCCCAGCAATTCATAGGCAGCTACAATTCATTTCGCACCCATTCTGAATCATTATATGAAGAAGTACAAAACCATACAGAGGCGAGTAGGAAAAAGGAACAGTTATTACTGAGAGTCCAGACCATACTTCCTCCACCCTCCCAAAAAAAAGGTAAAGAAAAGGTTTGGGCTGATACTGGAGAACATCACCCTCACACTCCATATGGCTCTCACTCTAAATCTCCAGCACAGAACTGGAGAGTCTCCAGCCCAGCAAACCAATTCACCTACCAATGGCATGCTCATTTCCGTCCTTCTTCTAAAGGCCTTTCAGACAAGGAGACAAGATTCAGGCTTGAAGTTTCTGCTCTGGAAGCATGTTCTTTGCCATAGGAGCATTTACTAAAATGTTATGGAGGCCCTAATTGAGCCCCTATCTAAAATGAAGGCTGAATACCAGGTTAACTTGTACCTAGCTTCCAGTAGTCCTTGCTTGGAACACTTGAGAACATTGCAATTTGTTCATCTACAGTTTTCAAATTATTTAATATTTAAAATATAATTTTGAGACAGTAAAAATACCCATTTGTTTATGTGTTAACACTATTTGATAATCAGATCCTACTGGAAGCTGAGCATCCATCCCAGACTATTCTGGCTCAAGATGTCCTCAGTGGAATTTTCAAGGAGTCTTCAAAGTTTCTACATATCAAATCTTGTCTATATGGTACCTGTGAAGAAATTAATATATATTGTTGACTTAGTTTGCCATCTTTATGGCAAAAGCCATTATGCTAACCTCTAACACAGCAAGTGTAGATGATTTTAGGAGAAATAACTGTGTTTACCATTGCAAAGAAAAATTTTTCTTTGTTGGTCAAAAGGGCATCAGATCAGATTAATAACAGAACAGGTTCAAAGTTTTTGGGATGACTGAATGTCTGGACTTCTACTCTATTTTGTTTACCTGCTCTACCCACATAGGCAAATCTGGTCATGAAAAATCCTGAGGATGATATAGAACTAATTTGATGGGTTTGAGAATAGTATTTTCAAGCTGTGATACCATATAATTTAGAACTGAATCTCTCCAACTGAATCTACTATGCAATAAGAATGACATTACCCAGTATTCATTTTTTTTATCTGTAGGCTTCAGAGTAATTTATGAAGGTGGTAAATGGGGGGAAATATCCAATAGTTCAGGGCAAGTCAAGTGATACATTCCACAGTTAAGAAGTTGGCTGGGGTTTTTTTGCTTGTTTTGTGGTTAGCAAAATAACCTTCCAACAAATGAATTGTAATGAATTGTGTGCTAATTCAGTGTTCCTTACTTATTGTACAAACAGACCAATATAATGAAAAGTCATGCCTGTGGCATCAATAAATGCCACCCAAATGAGATTTCATGCACATTTATCATTACCGTATTCAGTCCTGGATCAAAAAACCCAATAAGCAAATGGCTGTTGTCAATCAAATGAAATTAGATATTTACAACGGAACATGTCATTTCACTCAAAGAGAAGCAAGCAGGAGTTGGTGCTAAAACATAACCTCCAGCGAATGCTGGGCAAGCAAAAAATTTTCATTCCAGTGAGTAGGATCAAGGGGCATAGAGGAAAACTCAAGATACTGCCTACCAGTACCTATCAGGAGAAAGCCATACAGCTCAGTACTGAGGAAGTCCAAATATGTGTACCTATCAGTCCTGTATCCATGCAAGTCTACTTTATCCAGATCTTATAAAACCAAATTTATATCTTCAATTTGAGGAAATTTACCTTATTACATTTTCCGATAAACCCAGGATTAACTGATTTCACCAACTGTGCATAACATTTTTATATTGCTGCATTTTACCAGCACTCAATGCAATATATTCAATTCAAGTGCTACAGCAGTGATACCTGAACATTTTTATTTAAGTATGACTTTAGACCAACCCACTCCTTTTCTTTTCCACCCCTCTCCTTTCCTATATTCCAGTCCCACTCTGCTTATGCCTTTGCCTCCCTTTCCAAATACAAATTCAACCACAAACAGTTGAACCTGGCAAAGGACGTGCTACCATTGGAGGCGAAGGTGTCCATCCCTCCCAACACATCAAGCACATTCATTTCAATCCCCTCCTTCATGTCATTAGGAAAGCAATGCAGCTGGCACTTGCTGGGCTTGTGTTCAGTTGGATCAGCAGCCTGATCCAGCCCATCACATCACCACATCGTGTTAGTACTGACAAAAGGAAGGGAGAAAGCCTGAATAGCCAGGTGCAGAAGAGAGGAAAGGAGCTAAGAGGACCTTTCCTTTCCAGCAGCAGCAGGGATTTATGCAATGGATTAAATTGATTTTGAAAGTACACCATTAGTCACAATGGTACACTGATCTTCAAAACACATCTATTATGCTTCCTGCATTGTGTACACTGAATTTCATTTCACACGAGAAATTCTAGGAGCAGCTTGGTTTATTAAGAAGTGAACATCCCAAACAGTACTAGTAAAATATCTGCATGCCATACTGTAACACAGATAAATATATAACTCTGTGGCAATAAAAAGATCTTTTGACAACAGGAGTGCAGGGAATCCTGCCAACATCTGCACATGTACAAACAACATCTCTGTTTTGGCTCCCTTCCAACTGGCATGTAGCAGCCACATCTACACTTCATTACCCCAGTCAGTAGCCGAAGAAGGGATAAAAATATGTACGAGTGCCCCATTCAGCAGTTTTACATTCACTTGGTGAATTTGACAAGAATATTAATTGAAGTGCAGATCTGTTGTCTTTGCAAGCAGAGATCTGTAACTTTTGTAGTATTCTATTTTGAAAGCATCTTTCTAGATGCAATTGCTGCTAACTTAACACGAGGACTTTTTTTTTTCATGTATTAAAATTTTGAAAGCCACTAAGACATGAACACAAATTTGTACGATCATTAAACATATTTTCCATTAACAACTTGCATTTAGAAACAAAAAGCTTAGTAGATAGCTGTCAAAAATCTCAGATTTCTGTAGAGTAATGCACAATATAGTTTTATTTTAATTCTCGATATGAGTAGTGTAAATATTTAATTAGATAATTTTGTACTTGATTATGCTATTTTGGATACTTTAAAATGTGCATT